TAGAAAATTGCATTCTGAAAAACAATTGGATTATTTCCTAACTATACAGCTGACAACTTTTCAACTGCGTTGACAAATGCTGCGTCACCGACTGGTCAGCCTGCTGCTGTTCTTGGTGATAGCGATAATACAGGGCCGCATTTTCGATCTGCTCACAAACCCTTCCCCCTCCATTTTCAAAAATGTTTAGTTTGAAAAAAGAAATTTGAAAGAGAGGAAAAAAATTTTTCCTACTTTTCTTCTAGAACTGCATAAATTTTTGAAAATCGTTTTTTTTTTGGATCAACTTTTAATTAGAGCATCATCCTAAAACGCATTCGCGTGTGTTTTAAATGACAACTTTGCTTTAACAATTTAACAAAAACGTCCCCAAAAAATCTTCCGCAGTTCTTCCTGAGATTGTTTTGAGAAGATCCCAGATCATCAGGTACGAAGTAACATTTCGGCAAACTAAGAAAATCTTCCCAAAGAGGGATTTTTAGACAACAACTGACTTTTCTATCGCCTCGGTTTTGCTTCAGTACAGCAAATCCGCATTTTTCTCGAAAATGAAAATTGTGACAAAAATTCAGTTTAATCAAACGAACTTTGGTATGATCGAGCAGATGTCGGGTTCTGATCAGCCAGCTCTGCGATCGTGCACGGATTGGTATCTTTTCGATCACATCCTGAAAAAAAGTTTTTTCAGATTAGCATGATCCTTGATCAGCTTGTAGCGATTTATCACTCGGCTAGTTATAGCTGAATTCAAGCTTTCTAAGTAGAATTCTTTACGTCGCATTAGTGCCTAGACCATTCAAATGGGGGTCAGCAATTTTAGAATATTTTTTTCAAAAAAAGAAAACTTGTTAGCGTCAAATCTTTCGGAAAAAGAGAGCTGGTTCGTATTTCACCATTGTTCTTTGTCTTGTTTTTAGCTAAAAAAGCATGCCAAACAAAGACGCTATTATTATCTTTGAATAGCAAAATATACATTTTTGAAATGAATACTCTTTCTAGCGTTTTTTCTTTCATTTACGCCTGAGTAAAATATAGCAATAATAATAGCTTATAAGAAAACAAGAAAGTAAAATTCTAATTTTTTTCGTACTTCAGTTTGGTACCACAGTTCCTCATATGTTAGGGGAAAATGCAAAAAAAAAAAAATTAAATTCAATGAAATTCAGCTCGTTCAAAATTCTATTTATGACATTTTATAACTA